GAGGTGGACCGCAGTGGCAGCGTGGTTGTGGGTGTGCGTTGCCACGGCAAAGATGGTTCTAATCAATAAATTAAAAAAAAAAAAACCAACAACTGGTGGTAGTAATCATTGTGGGTTGAAGTGTACTTTGATAAGCTTCTGTGGTAAGTTGATTGGTCTGACATCCTTTCAGATGGGTAGAACTGTTGCCTGCAGGCCCCAGGAACAGGCATGTGGGTGTTCATGGTATGTTTTAAAAAGCCACAGAAGTCGAATTGAAACGCAGGTTCACAAATTTGCAGATCTGTGTGGAATTGAATTGGACTGTTCTATTTACAGTGGAGGTTTGGAGTTTTGTTTAATTTGAGTGAGCCTTGCTAGGCAATTTTTCAGCTCGTCTGGGTACTGCACAGATGTCTGGCTCTGCTCATTGATTAGGGTGTGATCAGAACCTGTTGTTCTCTTCTTTTTCTTTGAAAATTGGAATGCTCCTCTGTTTCTGTATATCTTGAGTTTTTCCAGTTGGAGCCATACAGCACACATCTTGATCTGGCTGGGAAATAAGCATTGAAGAAACAGATTTAATAATAGCGTTCTTATGAGTAATTACATTGTATAAACTGAGCAATTGCGTGTTGCAACAGAATTTTAGCTACAATATGCTCTACTAACATATAAGTGCATGTGTTTGTATATATGTGCATGTATATTTACATACATGTATATATTCTTAAAACAGCGTCCAGTTTTGCTCATCCTAAAACTCACTGGTAGCCTTAGAAGCCGTTTTGGCAGAGTATTTCTGCAGTATCTTTTGTCCATGGATTCAGGAAGTTCTCTACAGCCCTTTTGAACAATTGGGTTTTTTAAGGTTCTTTTTCCAATTTGCCTTTGTAATTCCATGCTTAATGATTATTGAGGCAGTGCAACTGAATCCTAAGATGTTTCCAGAAAGCAAAACAGTTACTAAAAAGCCACAGATCATCAAGGATATTGTTAGGTAGATGTAAGAAAATTAAGACCTTAAAGAATTTGCAAAAATAATTCGTCACTCAGGATAAATAATAGGTCTAATTCTTAATAGCTTTGTGTATTAGACATAGCTTCTGCTATCAATAGCCTGTTCTAGTTAAATAATAACAGCAGATGCTGTAATGTATTTTAGTGTTGTCCTGTGAAGAATTAAGTGGAAGAAGGTTGATACACAATATCTGCAGCAGTATATCTACAGATTTGAGTTCAGTTGTGTTCTGAGATCGATCAAGTTTATCACAGTTGAAACCTATGCATGGGAGATAAATAATACATGTGTGAACATCGGTGGCGTCAACAGGAAAGAGAATATAATGTGAAGGGGTCACATTTAAAGAAAAATGAAAATGGATCTAATTATGCAGTAATTGAAAACATGCAAAACTTTGCAATTTGTGTCAGTTAAGAAAAGGGGCTGGCCTAGGGTTTATTGTTTATGTGCAGTGGAATACCAGAATAAATGTCATGCTCCAAACCTTACCTGAAACACTGAAGTTTTGAGTTTGTGATGTATTTGTCTCAATATATATTATTTGAATTTAAAGTCATTATAAATGAAATATAAAATGTAAGCTCCACCTGTTGGTGAAAATGTGGGATTTCAAATGGTATTTGTTATTGTGCCCAATTTCAAAAGGGCACAATAATATATATATACAATATAAATAATATAATGGTGATTTTTCTACTTAAAAACTGAAGTCATTTGAAGGAATATGGACAGGGTCTTAGGAGGAACAAGTGTGAAAATGGCATGGCATAAATCAACTTTATAAGCGGCTGAGACGTCCAGGCTATTTTAACTCTAAAGCAAAAAAGATGCCGGTTTTTCTCAGTACATAGAAAATGTTATGTCAGAGCATTGTTTTAATAATGCATTTCATACTTGACTGTCACCAAGGCTGAGCTTTTTCATCTCACAACCAGTCTTTGTATACAAATATTGTTCTGTCGTAGTTAAAGTACAAGCTCTTTCTTGATTAGGTGCCCATACAGAAGTTTCCAGGTGTTTCATGTGGCCATAACTCTTACTGTAATAATAAAAAGGTATAATAGATTTATACTTATGTACTTGAAAGAAATATAGCAATCTGTGATAATAGGTCTACTTGTAGAAAAATTTTGGTAGAAAACCCAGTTACTAAAATAATAATAATTCCAGTTTACAGTTGAATTGTTTTCCAGACTCTTAAAGTTGTTATAGGCGTAGTAGTGTATGGGTTGGAGAGTCAAGGTGGCCCCTGAAACTCATGAAGGGAAAGTGGATGAGTTAAGCCTTAACTTGTCACATCATCTGGTCATTTCTAGCAGATGTCTCCAACTAAGTGTTATGTATTCTGCAAGAGGAAAAGTGAGCCTTCCCAACTTTCATCTGCTTATCCCAGCCCTTTCGTTCCTCTGCAAGTTACATCAGGTCTGCAGGAAGAGCACTTCCTTCTTATGGTCCTAATGAAGTTCACAGAAGAAATGTAAGAAAAAGAAACGAACGAATTTTTGTATTCCAGTGGATGCCTGACACTCCAGCCTCTTAGTGGAATAGCCTTTCTCCCTTGACGTGTCGGAATTGTCACTGGAAGGTGTTTTTGATTACATATCTCAAAGTCTGCGAGAAGAATAAGCTACTGGAAGATCTCCCGCATTACTGTAGCTATCATGTCACATCTCAAGCACTGCCATTGTTAAGAATGTAGCTTTCTAATGGCCTGCACACTCTGTGTGAAAGTTTTGTTTTCCAAAGTTCGCTGTCCAGAGGAGAACCTTAAGGAGTCATTGTGGTGCAATGGACAAGGCAGTGACCTATAAGTGGGGAGATAAAGATTTCATTTCCAGCTGTACCAGTGATCTGCTGTGTGACGTTCACTACCTTATAGCTGTCTTACCAGAGGCCTCATATTCAAAGCAGGTGACAGGATTGACTTTCCAATATTTGTGTAACAACAAAGGGTAATGAACACCATGGGCAGGACAGTCCTTAAGTATGTAGAAAGCAGCTGGAATATGGAGAGCATTATCATAAATAGCAATAAAAACTTTAATGACCCTTCAAGTTAGACTTTAGGCAACTAGATTTTGATGCTGGAGCTCAGGCCAAGAATCTATTAAAGAAGTTTTTAATCTATTTTCTTTCCTTCCTCCACGGTGAGAGAAGTTGACAAAAAAATAAACAATACAGAATTTTGGAATGTTGGTGAAATAGAATCATGGAATGGTTTAGGTTGGAAGGGACCTTAAAGATCATCCAGTTCCACCCCCCTGCCATGGGCAGGGACACCTCCCACCAGACCAGGTTGCTCAAAGCCCCATCCAGCCTGGCCTTGAACACTTCCAGGGATGGGGCATCCACAACTTCCCTGGCAACTTGTTCTAGTGCCTCACCACCCTCATAGTGAAAAATTTCTTTCTAACATCTCTTCTAAATCTCCCCTCGTCCTATCACTACATGCCCTTGTACAAAGTGCCTCTCCAGCTTGAGAATGGCAGGAATCCATCGCCTGACTTACTTCATCATTCAATTGTGTCTTGACCTTAGGGACAGAGCCTGTTAGTTTTGAAATATTCAGCACATTTTCCACAGATGAGATAGATGCCAGAGAAAGATAAACTGGGAATCTGAAGCAGCTCAGATTCAGGTCCTGAGATCAGTTGTGCAGAGACACCCTTACAGGATCACTTGGAGTTCTTTTCTTGATTGCAGCTTCAGTTCAGGTTCACCTGCCAGCATTGCAAGGGTTGAAACCAAAGTTGTGTCCGTAATTATGAAAAAACATGTGCACTAGTGGAAAGTTTCCACAGTAATTGTGGAATTTCAGTGGCAATTACAGTTTTTCATTTTACAGACATGCTGATCTCGTTTGTAGATACTAATT